TTTTTTCTATTTCGGTGTCACAATGATGATTTTGTACAACAGTTGTACAAAGACAGTGATTATAGTCGTTTTTTTTTTTGGTAACTCATCTCTTAAGTTGGCAGTTACTAGTTAGTACAAGTAGGTACTTCGTTGGGTACTTCCATGTTTGAACTTCAAAATGTCAGTCTTACTACGCTACCAACCTAAAACTTAACGGCATAAAAAGTGTTCCCAACATAAAACATGTTAGTTCTAATGTTCCCTATAGTTTCTGATAATGATTTTTTTAATTAAAATTAAAGCACCGAAATAAAAAAAATAGTATGAAAAACGCGTGTTACAATGCTTTATTGTAATACTCCTATCTTGCGGACACTCGTGGCTACGCTTCGCGTCGCCACTCGTGCCACAAGATAGTCGTATTACAATAGGTCGCATTGTAACACTTGTCTTTCAATATACTATTGTTACATTGGAACATCGAAACAAGGAAATTTTACGGATACAGTTGCATATATCCACTATTGGTTTCGGTGTGTCTGCCCGTCCATCGATCCAATAGCTCTAGAACGAAATTTTGAATTCTGTTTTCGGTAACAGATAACTAAGAATAACTAGAGCTCTGAATTCGTTAGTCATCAGCCAAATAGGTTAACGGGCGGAAAATGGGCGCCCAGCCTACTAGTTACGTGTACTTACGGGGGTTTATGGCATAGTTTGCATCGATACAACTACGAAATTGCTCAAGAATGTTTAAAAATAGAAATTAAAATAGTAACACATAAGGTCAAATTCTGACGAAGTTCCATATCTTTTATCTACGATGCAATTACTTCGTGATTTCAGTGTTTTAATTTCATCTATTGTGTTGCCTGATAGGTAAACGACTTACAAGAAACGGTGACCATTTTTATTTTCTCGTTGAAAAGTGATTCATCGACTTTCAATGAAACATACTCTGATACGTAACTTAATTTAAAGAACTGCGCAGCTAGGTAGTTGGGTGAAAAAAGGACAATAAGTATAAGCACAGATTTAATTTAAATCTGTGGTATAAGCTTCTTATTAAAATTTAAAAGAATAGGTAGTCTATGAAATTTCCGTTCTGGTTCTTAGCTGCGTTTAGTTTTTGCCGTGATATTTTATGCAGTTATACGAATCGATATATTGAATAGATGGTGATGTAAAAAGGGCCATGAGATAGCTTGGTACTAGGTAGCGGTGGGGACAAGGGAAGTGAAATGGGGTGGTTGTGAAAATCTTATTATATTTCGAAAAGGAAACACCTTTTAGCCACTTGCACTGAACACATTTTGGGCGTGAATGCCCTTTATTTAACCAGGTTTGTTTTCTATAAAAGTAGTATTGGGGGTACCTATTGATCGTTTCCTCGAAAAGACATAAACGAAAGAACGGTTTCTGTCCTCCCCAGTCAAAGATAAATGAGCGTTTTCCCATTTGCACAAAATTAAGATACCTACGCGAATGCCTTTGAATTAATTTAACATTATGTTGCCAGAGTTAATTGCTAAAGTGCTAATTTTTGTTTCAGTT